AAAAGAAAAACAAAAATAAAAAGCAAAATAGGAGTAATAAGGGTGAGAAAAAAAAATTACCCTAAAACTTTGAAGATAAAAGCAAAAAAAGAAAAAGAAAAAAATGGTAAATTTAAAAATTTCATAAGTTTTCAGCTTGATTATCAGCATAACAAATGCTACCTCTTTAAGCAAATTTTTTTTCTTTCTTAAAAAGCATTGAAGAGAATAGGGAAAGTGAAGGAGAGAACATGTTCTGAAACAAAGAATCCAACTTTGAAGATTCTGTTAAGGCAGATCACATGCAGCTGCAAAGCACAAGCAATTTGACAATGTTGTGGATGAGTTTCTAATAATTTCCTTGATCAACCATGGCTGCCATGATGAGTTTCCAAGTCAGCAGCTCAATGGTAGGTTGGCAAACTCTTGACCCCAATCAATTTGTCTTGCTGCTGCTTCAAGAGAAGGCAAGGCACATTGAAGAGTGGAAGGAGAATAAGTATCAGTGAGGCTAATTATGGACGTATAATATGAGTTGCCTGGGCCTGTCAACTGACCATAAACCCTGCAGACAATGGTAATTAAGTGATAGAATAATGGCTGACCCAGCCTCAAAATGTTCACTCTTGGGATGAAGATGTTTTTAGAGGATTCAATTGGCAGAGAATCAAAACAGAACCTAGAAAGACTTATCCCCAACCCACTGTCTAGCATCAGTTGGGTTCACTACAAAGGAGGGTGGAGCTACAGAAGAAAATAATTAAAAGCATAAAAAGACCAAAATGTTTGTGGTGTTGATGCTTAATTGGAGGCACACAGTTAATTTGTTAAGAGGAAGACAATGATGATTATTAAATAGCCTGAATGAAATAAAAAAAGTGCCTGGATAAGGATTATTGGAGGGAAGAGGAAGTGTGTACACATTTGTTTTGATGAGAATCATTTGCAGAAATAAAAAAAAATTAATCGACTGTATATCAGTAATCTTGTTATTGGCATGCAAATACTTTTAATCTCAAGCTAATATTAAATCTATGGCTGTAGTTAACAATTCTGGAAACAAAATAGCCATAAGGCAAATATCCAACGCAAAACACTAATCCCAGAGATAATTACGCTTAACCTGGAGAGCGGTGCATCCAGAAAGCTACAAGGAAAGAGAGGTGTAAATGAGATGCCTTTTTGATGTTTGCATCACTGGTCATATCAAGTTACTTATCAAAGATGTCAGGCATATGTTCATTGCACTGTTAGAGTGGGCTAAAATGAGATGACAAACAGGAAGTTGTAACACAAAGTGGAAAGGGTGGGAAATAGAAGACCTGCAGTTCATTGCTAATACATCAAAGAGAAAAGGCATATCTAATCCACTTCATTATAGGGTTAAATACAAGGAAATAATTGCCAGTGGCAGACAAATGTTCAGTATAAACTGTTTAGAGTTTTTATTTTTTATTTTTATTTTTTTTTCATTTTTGAAAAATGAAAAATTTGCTTTGTCACATGAGAATATCTCAACTCCTAGATTTGCAACAGATTGATTTCTAATAACTAAATGTTTTGAGAATTTGAATTTATTGATACAGATCAAGATTTAATCATGTAATGTAATATGTGCATGGATTTCGTTAGGTGAGTGATAATTTCAATTCCAACTGATTGAAAAGAAATGAAAATGTTGACAACTGGCAGCCAACAGGAAATAAAAGGTCTTAACATAGTAACAATGACATGTTTTTAGTGATCTTTAAAATAAAATTTCAAATACTAATAATAAAAAAAAAAAATTTGAGGGGAAACAAAAAAAAAAAAGTATTACATGACATGACTTTCCTCACAATATCAGCAGACTGGTCAGCCAACCAAAAACAAATGAAGTTTTTTTTCATGCACTGTTATGTCAACCACATCAATATATTATCGTTATATCTATATCAAGTAAATAGAAACATCTTTGAAAACTTAGCAAGGATAATTTGGAAACTTAACATTAAAAAAAAAAAAAAAAAAAAGAGATAGTGAACATGATTTAGTGCAGTGCTCAAGTGTATTTTTAGTTTAAAGCAAGGATATTCAATTTATCTTCACTCATAGCAATTAAGACAGAAATTTAATAAACAGAATGAAGATACATAGAAATGTTTTTTAAAACAATGGTAAAGTTACACATCTTTAGTTACTGAATTGGAACTAAAATTGTAAAACAAAAAATAAGCCAAAGCAGAATTTTATGTTAAGAGTGCTATATTTATGAGAAACAATACAAGAAAAGCCTGCTTTTCTTGTTAAAGGACAATTATTTTAAGATTGTGAATGATTTTTTTTTTTTAGAAGGATTCAGCCATATACATATATAATTATTTACCAGTATCAAAATTAAACAAGCATAAAATTTGTGACAAAAGACAAACTTAACTTGAAACCATTCAAGAGTGAACAGAAATGCCTGAAATTTAAGTATGTTGTAGCATGCAGGAAAATGTAATGTTTCATATAATTCATTCCTTTCATTCCACAAAAGTGAGACACTCAGTGAGGATCAAATACTACAATAGTAATGATTTGTAAGATTAGTTTACTTACTGCTTTATGGTAAGATACTATAGTTATATTTAGTAAGGCTAGCTAAGTTTGGCACAGGTGGTAAAGATGAAACTCACAAGAGTAATGGTCTATGAGATAAGTTTGCTAATCATTACTTCATTGTAAGGCATTTACTAAGAATTCCATTTATAACTAATAGTACGTTCAATTATCTAGCAACAACTTAGAAAAAAGCAGGATAATGTCTGAGAGAGTTATATATTTATAAATCTCCTTTATATGTATAATGACAGGGTACTATAGTAATCTTTACACTAATGATTGTCACTTAAACTTTTATATTTTACCATCTGTTGATTTTTATAGAATTGACAGATGGTAACAGTTTGTTTTTTATTTAAAAATTAACAATGATAAATATCACAATTCCATAGTGTATATTCTACTTGATTGTTGCAACAAAACATGAGTTACTGAAGTCAAAGTGATGGGTGAGACTATTGGCTCTTTCTCATTATTAACGTACATCTATAAACCATGTCCATCTTCTCACACATAAATGAGAATTATATAAATTTTTATATATCAAGAACAATATTGGTGGAGGGGGATGTATGACAAAATTGTAAAAGGTTTTCTTGTGGTACATTTCATTTTTTAGTTAGAAGAAGTCCTAAAGAATGAAACGCATCACAAGAAAATGTTTTTTCCAACCTCTGTGTGTGAGTGTGTGTTTTTGGTAAGGGAAGACAGGTAGTGAAAACAGTACATGGTTCTTTGATGTGAATTATTCTCATGTAATATTTGTTTTCTCTTATACAAACTGTTTGTACCTTCATGTGGAAAATAATTGTCACAAAATCTTACTTTGAGAATATGAAGAAAGTGATTTTGATAACTTTTCTAATGTTTCTGCAGCAACACGAGATTATGAAATCACTGTCAAGAAGAATCAATCGTCATTTGTAGTAATTTTAATTTTGGGATTAAAAACTTGACTATTTATCTTTTCAGAATTGTTTGGTAAAAGAAATGTTCAAAATATAAAAATTGGAAAAGACCTTTGACAAATCCAGAAAATGAACATCTACAATTAGAACTATCATAGAATCACTTTCCCCAATTAGTGCTGTAATTTTACCAAATGAAAATGTATTTTCTTTTAAGAACCAAGCTGATAAAATTATATTCTCTTACAGTCCTGACATATATGGTTTAAATTACTGAAGGACTAAATGGGGAAAATAAACATTAAAATGTATATATAATCATTAAAATTGTAGATTTTAGCTACACATAGAGTTTCCTAATATTTCAGAAGTTAATTATTGATAGAAATCATTATATTAAGTTTTTACAGAAACAGTTCATTAGAGAAATATGTTGATAAAGATTAATACAAAACTCTTGTCCACATATGTAATTTACTCAAACACAGATTACCATCATTTGAGAGTCTTGAGATGGAAAGAGCCAAAAATAAGACTTGTAATGAATTGCACTTATGTCTAAATACACAATTTCTTTGTAACATTAACATGTAGTGATAAGTAACAGTTGTTAACAAGAACTTATTTTGTACAGTTACTATACAGAAATCATCATCTGCCTTCACCATTATCAACGCAGCTGATTGACAAAGGACATGAAAAACTTTTTAAAATTTAAACTGCATGTAATTCTACCAGATAATAATATGTGCAGAGCCTGTCCTCAACTTCAAACCCAACCCCCACATGTAATCATCACCACAACCATTAGCTGCTTATTAAAAGTAGACTCCATTGTTTGAATGATAAATAGAATTAGACAAATAAGATAGCAAAGGAAATTTTATGGAACCTTAATTATATGACTCTTTAGGATAAGCAACAAGAAAAACAAGACAATTCTTATTTGGAACTTATAACAAGATATTCCAGACACTTAGAAACATAAAAAAAATAACAGTAACATTTTTCTAGACTAAGTATATACAAATAAAATTTTTAAAATATACTTTGTAAAATGAAGAAATCAAAGATTGTGAGTGTGCAATTAATAATCCAGTATTTTGATTAGGTTATGAATAAATAAAACTTAAAAAAAATAAGTATCTTTTTTTTTAAATGAGGTGATGTATTTTTTTTTTTTATTGTGGTTAAGTTTAAAAACTGAATTTCCTAAAATCAGATCTAATTTCAATTTGTGTTTTTTATTTTATTTATTTATTTATTTTTTACAGCTTATCAACCCTTTGCAGGTTATTTAAAGCCAGAAAATATTTTTAATTTGTAAGAAGTTTTTTGGAGATAATAATGGTTTAGTGATACAAGTTTTAGTAATTAACACACAGCTGGGAGGAGAAGAGATGAATTTATAACTTTCTCAAGGGTATTTGCATGTAAGTGAATATAATGAAATTGACTGGAAATGAAATTTGACTTTCCAATTAACAATTCCAAGTCATTACCCATTACATCACCTGCACATCCAAGCTTACAGCACCAGGTATTCCCAAGCGGTCACCTATCTAGGTACTGACCAGGCCCAAATTTGCTTAACTAGGTGATTGTATAGGAACCAATGTTTCAACATAATATGGCAGTAAGCCAGATCGAATTTCAGAGTAATTAACATGTATCAAAAGCACTTAAAAAAAAATTAAATTAATAAACAAAAACACCTTGAATTGTTGGTTCTTTCAATTCAACAACATTTGTTTAATCTTTAAAGAATTAAGAGTCATTTAATCATAGCTTTCTGGCTCAAGGGCACACACCAACATTTAGTGCTTTGTATTAAGAGCTAAATAGTTGAAATACTAAGAAACCTAGATATACATCAAAGAAACATTTGGTAATTTCTGCTATCTTTAATATAAATGCCTTAGTCAAAATTATTTAAGCCATATCTGGATTGAGGAGCAGTACTTGGGATATAGAAAAAAGAATTCCAAATAAAATATATTGTAGATAAAGAAAACAATCAAGCACATCTTAATTTGAACTGGAATCAATGGTAAAATTGAGCCTGTTCATGACATTCTAAATAATTTCCTGATGCATAAAAAATAAAACATTTTCTAACCAACAACAGTAAGAATGAGAATTTGTGACTTATAACATTTAATTAAGAATTGAAGGTTGAATACAGAATAATTTCATGTTTATCCAGTAGATATTTTGTTTTAAAGAGGAAAGCTTCAATATCAGTGTTTAATTTAAAATGTGTGATTTGGGGGTGGGGTGTTTAGTGCACTGAAAGTTTTTTTTTTTTTTATTATAAAGTTCAATGTGCATTAAAGAAAATGCCCACCACTTATAATTTAAATTTATCAGTTTCCAAAAATTATAAATTGGGGGCTATTAAGAGACAGGCAACCTAGAGAAGCCTATAGAAAGATACTAAATGACATTTGTACAAAAAAAAAAAAAAAAAAAAAAAAAAAAAATTGTAAATCGACTGAATAAGAGTGAAAAGTAATTATTTAAATTACAATATGTCAATAACAGAATAAGAAATTGAAAGTTTTACATACTAGGCAAAAGTTCCATTAGAATACAGAATAACAACTGTATAGAATACCAGAAGGCTTTGCCTGCTCATTATTGCTTTCCAAAATAAGATATATTCACAACTTGAAATCTTTGAAACAAAAATTTTAAAAGAACATTTCATTCATAAATTGGCTTGTTATAGTTAAGTTTTACAAATAGATGCCAACTTGTTGAAGGCCAAGTAAAATGCAAATTTCAAACACATTTTTGCACTATATAAGATGATATTCCTAAACAGAACTATTTTTGATATGAAAATCAAAACAATCTTCAAATGAAAGAACAGTAATGAAGGACAGTTAATTAATGAAAAACTTTTTTTTAAAAATCAATATGCAAATTAGTTAAACCTGAAGAGTGATATTGCCTAAAAGTAGACAATATATAATACAGATATTGAGCTCTTAGTGTATAAATTACTATAAAGTAGAGTTGGAGCTTTATAATTTCAGAATTCTTGGGAGAATTGAGCTCCAATTTCACATTTATTTATATAGATTCCATAATATAGGTTTTACTTAATTAGCTATTATGTTTCTCTAACTCTTCAAATGTTGAATGCATAACTAATTTCAACTTCTATTTTCCCATCTTTACACTATATTAATTTTATCTCATAAATTGTCCCATGTTCTGTCACCTGTGAAATAATAATTGCTTGTACAGAAAATAAGGATCTACGTACATCAAATTGTCTTTAAATTAAGTGGCAGCAGATGAATTATCATTGAAGTTTTAAAAGGTAAGCTTAAACATTAATTCAATACTTAAATGCAGCATTCTGTAGTTTACTGATGCCTATCACATCTACTCCTCCCTAGCTATTGTGATAATAGCCAAACCAAGAGTCCTCCACAGGAGCTAGCTTAAATACTGCCTGATAGGGTGGCCTTTAAGCTAGTTTATAATAAAACATGCACTGCAATTTTGGATACAAAAGGAAAATAAGAGTTAATCTCCTTGAACCATGAGAGCAATGATAATGGCTAGTATAATATATTGATATATATTTTTAACCTCGCATAATCTGGCAACCCCGAATCTGAGCTCAACAAAAATGATTCCCTGTGCCTAACTAACTTTTCTATGGCTTTCGAATGAGCTATGAATCATTGAAATCAGACCAGTAGGAGTGAAGGAGTTGCTTGGACACACATACACAAACACTGCACTTTATATACAAGAACAACAATTTAGGTGATGGTTGTCTGATAGCAGGCAAGTAATGAGTATTCTCTCAGGAAAATTTGAAGCTTTTCTGTATATGACCTATTTAAATATACTTTTTTTTTTTTTTTTTTTTTAAACTGAAAATATTTGTTAAAACCTGTTAAGTGATGTTACTTCACACTTAATGAATGTGCTAATTTATTAATTTCATTATTTTATATATCTGAAGTAGCTAAATTGCAAATAAGGATTTTGCTTTTGGAGAGGAGTTAATATTAAATGATTACTTTGGACATTACTATGTTCATGCTACCAAAATTCAAGTTGGTTCCTTCTTGGATTTTTGTTTCTTGCCAAATGTAGCATCGTTTTATTCATTGTTACTAACATCAGCAAAACTGTAGGAGGATGAAAAATAAGTTGAACAAATTATGGGGGGAAAGAAAAAAAAAAAAGGCTGCAAATAAAGATTTGCAATTTCTCATGTTATAGCATTAAGATAAGAATTTGTCCTTAAAATATTTTTATAAGATTATAAAGGCAAGCAATTTCAATTTAATATAACAATCTTTCAATAAACAATAAAGATCAACTAAATGAAATATTTTACTGAACTATCTTTATATATCAATAATAAACAAGTACAGTTCCATTGGTTCCAGTGGGATGAGGAAAAAATGCCAGGGTAAAAAAAAAAAAAAAAAAAAAAAAAAAAAAAACAAATTCATGTGAATTAAGCCCATGGAAATGAAGAGGAAAAAATAAAACCCCAGAGAACTTAGAAAACTGATAATGAGATAACACAAGCAATAAATTAGTTGTGCATTCAAGACTTTATGTTAATTCCATTAATACAAGTAGACAGACAAATGGTTAGCATGTGATGACCTAACAGGTAAAAAAACAAAAATGCAGTAAACTCATTTCAATGCTTCAATCTATCGTTTAGAAATAAATGATCAGCTGGTCGGTCAGTTAGTTTGTCTGTGGTTCAACTAGATAAGGCAATCAGTAGAAACCAATTTCACATTGTCATGTTAGTAATAAAGACAAACCAATCTCTAGCGTGAATAATTCTGTGAGGGTTTTTAACCCTCCCCCACATAATCAGACCAACTTGTGACAAATCTCTTCAAAATGAAAAAGAAAAAAAACAAAAAAAACTCACTTTGATTTAATGGATCTTTGCTAGACAGGCAGGCACAAAGAAGTGAAGCAGATTTACTGTAAACAAGATCAAGACTTTTCTCTTCAAATGAAACAAAGAAAAAAAAAACCTAGTCTTTTAAGAGTAAAAAAAATTGTAATATTAGTATTATCTTAATTCTATTGAACTCACGCAAATACATATAAATTGTTTATAGATTAATGAATGTATATGAATTATCAATAAAATATACATTCTATTATTCTAAAGCAGCGATTCCCAAATGATGTGGCGTGCCTCATAGGTGCAGCAGAAGAGGATAGCAGGTAAGGCGGTATGAAGCAATCAAAGATTTAGAAACAGTTTTAAAAAATTCATATGCCAAAATAAATGATTTTGAAATTTAAAATATTATTATGGATTACTTGTAATTGCATGAATGAGTACCAGTATAAATAGTTATAAATAAATTTTATCATTGTGATATTTTTGCATTATATCAAGTATTAAGAATATAATAATTAGGGTTTGCAACTTGGAGGAGAGAGTTATCAGTGGTAATATTCTGACTTCAAATTTGCAGTTATCTCCCTTTAAACCTGTTTTTTTTTTTTAAATGTACTTTTTATTACATAAAATTTGGTGAGGCACAAGCAAATTTTAATCCTGAAAATGCAGCCCAGAGAAAAAAATAAAAGCTTAGCCAATATGGATATAGTACATGAATCCAAAATAAAAGATCAACATGAAAATTAAGGCAGTTTATTAAAAGAATAAGAGAGAGAAAAAAGTAAACATCAACTAACAAATGGAAAGAAATTGTTCAATAAAGAAAAAAATTCACATCGCAAGGTTAACATTTCAAAAAACAATTTTAAAAATTAAAACCTCTTAAATTCAAAGAGTGCAGAGAGGAATTACAAAATACCTTTTTGATACATTGATTTCAATGGTCAGTGATGATAGATGTATTCTTTTAAATACAATTTTTGAATCAACAATTGCAACTTCATAATAATGTAGTTAGAAATTTAGGGCATTATTTCATGCAAAGCTTTCATTTTTGTAAATACAAGAAATTGATATTCAAAATGACTGCCAGTTCATATGCAAATGACAGAACATCTACATGATCTTTGAACTGTGTTTAGTAACACCCACCCACTATAAATAAATGTATTTATCATTACATTTTAAATTAAAAATATTTTTTAAATACATTTATGTAGCCATGAATTTTCATTTATATAATGGGTACTATTTATTTTTGTTTTTAAACAGTTTTAATGAAAAGGTTTAAATATTTCTATTGGGAGAAATCAATCATGGCATAATTGAAGATGATATGAACTGACATTATAGAACCTGCTTTAAAATATACAAAAATATTTTTAATTAACAGTATATTTTCTGGCAATTAAATCAAAATTAAAACTTCAATGGAAAGTATGATCATTTTCCATCTAAACAAAATATAAATTCTCATTTAATATGCAGAGAATTTTTTAAAAAGTCTCAAAACCTGTTTTTAGTCTGTAAAAGTAATGGACACATATTGGAGATATGTATGTAAAATGTGAAAGAAACAGGAAACTTGTGTTTGTCAGAAAGAGATGTAAGAAATTTTGAAACTCAACATCCAAAAGATTAATATTGTTTTTAATATACGCTCCAAATTTAAGAGAAAAGGTTCAAATGATTAAAATTGCCTAAAAGTTAAGATTCATTA